TATATGAGAATGATCTTTCTTCCCATTTAATACCCTGCTTTCTCAACCAAAAATCTTTGGTCTCCACGACCATGAATTCATTGGTGTACTCTGCTGGTGGTTTAAAAGTTGCTAGCGCAGCAGAACTAAAAAAATCCACTTCATCACTTAGCGAGATAACAGCAAGCTCTTTGACAATAAAAGATCCATCAAGCGTGTAGAAGCCTTCAAAATCAATAAAAATCTCCATCTTCTCGACTTTAAGTGCTCAAGTTCAAGAACAGAAACCTAATGATGATATCTCACCGAGCAGATTGAGGATCAATCCTTACCATGAAAGCACAGTGTAGAGGGGGAAATTGTGTAAGATTCTTAGAAGATCGTGTCATAACAGCTTCCAGATAGCAGATTCACAATTCAAAATGGCGGATAGCAGCCATCAGATGGATCATCAATTAATTTTTCAAGCCATTTTTTGTTTTTTTTCACCTTCAACACATAAATAGCTCAAATAACACGTTAAATTATTAAAAATTTCCCCAAATACATTATACGCAGTTTTACCGACATCCTAGCTAATTACATGACGGCGTGCATTATAGTCCAGATTTTTCTTAATAGATGCACTAGTAATTATCATTGGAGGCTTAAATAAATGATAGTCACACTCATAAACACCATTGAATTGATATTCATTAGTAATCTTGGTGACACGAAATTCCTTGACTGCAAATGAACCGTTTGGCATAATATAACTGGTAAAAAAAATCAATTAAGTATTCCATATTTCATTTTCTTTATAATTGACCAATTAAAGAATTATAAGTGCAGCCTCAATTGGTGGACTATCCAGTTCGTCTTCGGAATATTTATAGCTTATTAATAAAAAGTTTTTCAAATAATGAGATGTTACTTTAACTTTCCTATCATCAATAAAACATTCTTCCGTTATACAAATAATGCTTTCCATAGAAATATCAAAATCACAAAAATCATTTCTCATGAAAACTCCTCTTAAATTTGGAATTGTAACATAGATTTAATTTATTTTTTAACATAAATTTAATTGAAGTAATTGATAATTTATTCTTGATTATGAAGGTTTGATAAGAAATTCAAACTTGTGATAAGCTGTTCCTAAATAATTCAAGTGAAGTTCTCCTGCTGAGGCCAAATCGATCAGTGAAGTTAACTGCTCTTCATCATCAATCAGCTTCTGGTTGGTTCGATTCGGGAAAAAGATTGAAAACTCGTTTTCCACAATTCCCAAAATTTTTGGTCCATATTTTGTGTTGACTTTCTTAATTTCCATGATTTGATACATCTTGTTTCGTTGCAGTTCTTCAAACTTTTTAGTTGGTAGAAAGTTCGGTAAGTTGTTGATTTTATTGATAGCACTCAAATCCATTTTTGAATTATTAAGCTAAGAAATAGATAGAAAAACGTTAATAATAATAATAATAATAGACTGAAATTTGGAAGCATGTGAGTATAACTCCCCACCAACGATCCCCTCCCAACGACGATGACAACGCCAAAAACAGGTTTAAACTTGTCGGATGACGTAAAAACATGATGTAATCGAGAGAGTAGGGGGCTAAAAAACGTTAAAATTCAAAAAACTCTTACCCCCGCATCGATAAAACAGAACATCACTCGGTATAATACCGACTGTTGATACTCGCAGTCGATAACATAGATCACTCGTTGACATCAGACTGTCGATAAAACTTACCACAAATCGATAAACAGTTTTTTGTAGACATATACTTAGTTGTCATCCCACCAGAGCGGCGTAAGTATCGGTCTTTCTCGCATATACTTATACTACAAGTCATTTGAATATATACAAAATTCATCATCACATCAAATAAGTGCATATCACATCAACAACAAAGCTGATACACGGTAAAGGTATCAGCTCTGCTGTTGGGGTGGTAGCATTTTGACCTCAAACAATCGACCAACAAATCGATGACAATCCCCCAACAGTCGGTAAATATCGATCACCAAATCGATGATAATCACCCCAACAGTCGGTAAATATCGATCACCAAATCGATGATAATCCCCCAACAGTCGGTAAAAAAATCGACCAACAAATCGATGATAATCCCCAACAACAGTCGGTAAGTAGAGCACAAAAAACCAACCATCGATATCGCAGAAACTCCACCAACGACTGTCGATAAGACAGAACCCCAAGGTCGGTACTGCAGAAATCTACTTTATCGGGGGGTCAAACCGGCCTTGCTTATCTACTAGCATAAGTGCAGTATATATACTAGATATTTACAGTATAAAAACTAGCCGAAATAACTATAGTTTAACCGCATTATTACCGAATTATAACGGCAAATATATGGCATGAGCATAAATGCCGAAAAATTACGGTATTTTTACGGCATTCTCAAAACCGCGAGGGAAAGTAAATAATTAAATTATTCAATTTAATGGGCGGTGTAAATATTTATTTATTTTATTAATTATTAGTTCAAGTTGTACAGTTTTTAACTATTCTATATAAATTAGTTTACTTATTTACTTCAGTGCTTATCTATGACTAGGGGGTGTAAATATTTAATAAATTAGAGTCAAATGAGAGTTTCTTCTATTAAATTATTCAACAGTTAAGTGAAAATTTATAGCGTATACGTGATAATATTATTATGTCACATTACTCAATATTTATTTCAGTCAAATAATATTATTTTTCTTTCAAACCCGTTCCTGCCTTTACGGTGTAACAGGGCGAAATTCAAATTGAATTTCGCGCTGCTAGTCAGTTGTAGATGGCAGCACGGAAGGAGCGCTAGTTGTCTGCTCCTCTGCTTTTCAGTTAGGTTGGCAGTCGGGGTCTCCAGAGTGGGGAGCTTGGGACTACTACCTCCAGTCAGACCAGCGTGAGTTCAGTTCTTGGTCTGCGAGCAAGTACCCTGTGGAAAAGGTCTCATAAATTCTTATAAAAAAATTGGTTATGAAAAAGTGATCTGCATTTATCCATGAAAAACCTCGAAAATTCTTATACAATTATTTTCTCTTAGCAATAGAGGGTTTAACAATTTTTTAGGCAAAACTCTGATAAGTTTAATTAGAATTTATGAGAGTTGAGTGATAAAATTGTTTAGCTATGAGTATTTATAAGTTCGGGAAACTGAATTATTTTAGGATTATAATAATTACGAGAACAAATGAGATTTAAGGAGAACTTTGTCGGAATGTTCGTATGAGATTGTATACTGATATACAACATTCAAGGTTAATTAAATGCGAACCTAACCGAACTTTTATAAGATTTAATCAGTAAATTCATGTTATATTTCCATTATTTTAATGAGATTAATACTTAGAAGTATTTTTTGAGAAACTTCAGAGAACTTGAATGCTATAATGGCAAATAATTTTATAAGATTTTATGAGTTCATTCACATAACATCTGGATCAGTTTTAATAAGATTTATTTCTATAAGTAGTTTGGAGGATTTTCAAAGAAATTGAATGACTCCATAGTAAATAATTTTGTGAGATTTAAAAGAAATACTAAAATTAGATTTTAAATTTAATTGTTAATTTTTAATAATTCTAAAATTAGCTGGAACGTCACACCTTAATAAAATAAAAAAAATCCGATCCCCAAATTCCTTTATTTTTCCTGTCAAAAAAATTTCCGAAAATAACTTTTTTTTTCGGACCGTCACAGTGGTGTTCCCCCTTAAGCAACATCAGTAAATAAATAATTTTTGAATTTATAAGTGTAATAGAAGTCAACATGCTTGGAGTACATTATTTATTAAATTAATATATGTCTTGAGTATAAATTAAAAAAGTCTTATATCAGTCATTTGATAAAATATCACTTCCTTATTCAATGCTTATTAATAACTCTTTCATATTGACTTCATTTCTTGCTTAGTCAGACTTATCAAGGAGGTCATTTTCAACAATGAATGGTTTGTAACAGCGTAATCAAATATAACAGAATATTCATTTGTCAGTCTGAATAATTTGGAAAAAGTCTATTTATACTTACACAAAATAAATAAAAATATTTAAAACCCATTGAAAATATTAATTATCGTTTTTGATACAAAAATAATGAACAAAAAACGTAAACGCAAAGTTCTTTCGTTAAGAGATAAACTAGATGTTATTTTGAGTATTCATAATGGTGATAGTGGAAAATATTTATCTCTTAAGTATGGAGTTGGTATGTCTACAATTTCTGATATAAAAAAAAATTCTTCAAAAATTATCGACTATTCAACAAGACTCTGCGAGAATGATGGAAATTTATCACGAAAAATTATGAAAGAATCAACAAATCCTGGCATGGATCAAGCAGTCTTCAAATGGTTTATGCAAAAACGATCAACTGGACAACCGATTTCGGGATCATTGTTACGTGAAAAAGCGAAATCTATCCATGAACTTTCGAATTGTGTGACACATTTTCAAGCAAGTTGCGGATGGCTACAACGATTTAAATCTCGACACGGGATAAGGTCACTCCGCATTTGTGGAGATAAGCTATCAGCAGATGTGAAAGCTTCTAATTCGTTTGTAGACACACTTCATGATATAATTAATAAGAGCAAATACACGAAAGAGTTTATATATAATGCTGATGAAACAAGATTAGATTATAAGGCATTGCCATCAAAATCATTAGTCTTACGGAATGAATCTGCAGCACCAGGTTTCAAAACTTCGAAAGAGTCTGTGACTGTTCTTGTTTGCGCGAATGCTAGTGGAACACATCGGTTGCCATTATTAGTCATAGGAAAATCAAAAAATCATGAAATTTTGAATAGTATGCCAATTGTTTATAAATATGCTCGAAAAGCGTGGATAAATCAAAAAATATTCACGGAGTGGTACAAAGAAACTTTTGTGCCACAAGTAAAACAATTTCATGGACTAAATGATAATCAAGGTAATGTCTTACTTCTCTTAGATAATGCACCATGTCATCCACCGGCTACTACCCTAAATATTATTCATAACTCATTTACAATCAAATATTTACCTCCGAATGTGACTGCAATAATACAACCTATGGATCAAGGTGTAATAGAAAATTTCAAACGAATCTATCGTAAAGATTTTTTACGCTATATAATTTTAGAGGATGATTATCAAGATTCTATAAGGTCCATAATAAAAAATTTAAAACTGAACACATGTTATCAAATGATGATCGATGCCTGGAACCGTGTCGATAGCAAAACATTAGAGCGATCATGGAATAAAATTTTAAAATAGCTGCCCTTAGAGGAGATGTTGTGATTAAATAAATGGTTATCTAAAGTGAGTTTTAACTGGACTCGTTCAGCAATTTGAAAGCATGCTTCATATGCATATGAATAAAAGATGTACAATGGTCTTATAACTAGTAATTTATTAACTGGTTTCTGTCACAAAATAGATTTGGGACTCACAAATTTGGCACGGGACCGTCACAAATTATTGCTGATCAGTGAAACATTCAAACAAGAAATATTAGTATTTCGTTAGAAGATGTAAGGATTCAAATAGATCTTACAAAACAGCAAATGTACAATGGTTTCAAAAATAAACAAAAAAAAAAATGTGTATGGAGTAAAACTTTTCTTTGACAAACTCAATTTGAAATTTATTAATCAATAGTTGATAGAAGTCAAAGTCTAAGGCGGCAAAAACTGGAATATTTACGGTACATAAAGGATTGAGGTATAATATTGAAACGATTTAAATAAGAAAAATTTTACACGAATTATACGTTACATGTTCTTTTGATTTATTTCTTCGATATCAACAACATTATCTAATGGTGCTTATAGTGGTATGGTTGACACTAAAGCCTTATGGTAACTAAAAAATGAAACATAGTTTCAATATTTTACAAATATCGTATAACAATAGCATTTATTGTGATTCCACATTAAGTTGCCATCTGATTGTTAGAATTATTACTTATCTTTATTAAGAAAAAAGATTCAAAACGATTCGAAATCGCTAAAAGCGATTAAAAACGATTCAACTTGACAAATATATAGATATACATTTTGCATGGGTTGAATCGTTTTAAATCTTTTTTAACTTCCCGCTAAGAAACTTGAAAATTTTCAAAAATCGAGGTTATTAATTCTACCCCGTTTTTCGAAAATCGAGTTTTCAACGGATGTTGACGTTTTGAAGTCCTAGGAAGCCTCCCCGAATGTTCCGGGATGATGTTCATACGTCTGTGTGTGTGTGTGTCGGTGTGTGTGTGTGTGTGTGTGTGTGTGTGTGTGTGTGTGTGTGTGTGTGTGTGTGTGTGTGTGTGTGTGTGTTGTTTATCTTATGGCAGATATCGATAGTCTAGTGTGGAGATTTTTACCCACTAAAAAAAAAACATTCCTCTTCCCCTCTCCCCTAGATGGTACGGGG